CACACACACACAAACACACACACAGACACACACACACAGACACACACACACAAACACACAAATAAACACACACACAAACACACACAGACACACAAAACAAACACACAAACACAATCACAAACATACACACACGCAATCACAGATTAGCGCCTTATATAAAGAAGGATTAATGAAAGAATGAGGTCAGCCTAAAGCTGATAGTCATGGTCCTGAGGTTCATAATTGCTTGATTAAGGATTTACGAAGTCGGTTGACTCCGCGGCGACGTTTGAGGAGCATCACCTCAATGTCAATATGGCAAGCAGATGTATATAAATACCGAATGTGAATGTGTCCAGATAGCATGATTCTTCTTATTATGAGATGAAGGATTATGAAGTCGTTCGTCAAACCCTTTTTCCCGTTACCGGAATACTGCTCAAGTAGGACACTTTTTAATCTTCGTAGTTTTGTACCATTGGAAAGATGACAAGAATAGTAACGACCATTAGAAGAGGAATAAAGCATGATATACGTGCAGAGACTATTTATAATGAGGCGAGGTGTAAGAAATGTTTTGGAGTGGCCACCACCTATTCATCTGAAAGACAGAGCTCAGGCGAAGAGTGGTCGGTTATGGCCATCTATGGAAAAAGAAAGAGGGAAAGGTTGTTCCCCGACAACCAGTCTCCGTCAACCAGAATGTCGTTTGCGAGGGAACCGGCTTACTACAGCGCTCATCTCTCGAGCGTATCCATCAAAAAAGACGAACAAATGGCTGTTCCGATGTGGAACGTAAGAAAGAGCCGCCGGTGACCAACGCAATTCGTGTGCGGTTCAAATGAAACATAAACAGTAAATTTTTTCCTGGTAACTGTGAGGAAATAAGAAAGATTTCGAATCCTTCTTCGGCTACATGGTTCCTGCGCTACGTCAACAAATCGTTCACTCATTTGAAGGCGAAGGCAATAACGAATGATCGAGAAACTTGAATGAAACCTATTCTTTCAAAAAAAAATGCTCGCGTAGGATGCTACCGTAGCTCTTCTTTACGAGTTCCGTCTTATCATGAATTCCTGTTTCTGGACATGTCTCACTCCACTAACCCTTCTGCTTACTTTTTGTTACCCTGAAACTGCCTTTTGTTGCTTATGCTACTATGCTACAGTACCTCGGCATTCTAAAGGCAACCCCACAATCAGCAGAAATACAATGTAACAAATGAAATGCCTAATTATTGGGCACTCGCAATGTAATAAATGTTGGAAAACGTCATTTCGTTTACACCTTTTGAATAATTTTCTCTATGTATAACGTTGCAACCTTATTCAATTTCTTTGCTTTCTTTTACTGCTGCAATTCGTCATTAACAAAGATCGCATGTTTTCGGGTGAAAAAACCTAGACAATAATTTATTTGAATTTGGTTATAATTGCCACTGAAATTGCCATTGAAACACACTGAAAGCTTCCGATGATATGGAATTAAGGCATCAAAAAAGTCAATGAATGTAAATTACGAAGTTGGTTTCTGAACTGTTGAAGCGGTAATTAAACATAAGGAAACTTTTTTACCGGTGAAGACGGTCTATGGTGTAGAAGTCTCGGTTGTCGTAATCCTCACAAGATCCCAAGGGTAGTACAAGAAGGAACAATTACAAAACCTTCGAAGCAGCAGCACGTTTTAGAAATTTCTGTGGTGTTGTTGACTCGGGATGTGGTTAGGTTGGGGAGTCATTGATACGTGAGCCAGCTTTACTTCATCGATTCGTGAAGATGGAAACATGATTCTGGGGTAATGGCAGACCATTTGGAAAAAAAGTTAGTCATCAGGGTTTATATATAGTAGTCTTACAGAATCGCGATTCACTCTGTTGATATACTACTTAACATTATTCGCTAAGTGTCTGTTGTTTGTAGGTGTATTTGTTTGTTTGTGTATGTGTCGGTGTGCGCATTTGACAGAAAGTTCGAGGCTCCTGTTTCTTTAGACCAAGAGCATTCGAATTTGGAAGGGAGACGGGTAGCAGGGCAATCATACTGCTCCGGGCACAGATCGGAAGGGAGGGAGAAGGGACTAGAAATGAGAGAAGTCAGCAGTTCTGATTCAGTCCAGCACTTATACTCAGGATTGATTCAGAGCGCTGTATCTGCTCACGAAATCTTGGTTCCAGCTTGCCGTTTAAGTTTCTAACTCATCATCACTTACGATCGTGTTCCCACTGCGGAGGCTGCATGGCTCCTTGAGATCATTTTAGCACAATCCTTCAGCCTATACCGCCAGACTTTACGAACAGCCGCATGTTTTGAAGTCAACAAGTCAGTCAGAACACTAAACTACTCTCGCACGTCGAGAGATTGGACAACTAAGTTTGGTGAAGACCTGGTTGGGGGGGGGGGGNGGGGGGGGGGGCATCACAATGTCACTGTATCAAGAAATGAACTCAGTTGAACGCAATGCTACGTGTTAAGCCGTGCTACACCAGGGGGTGCAAGTTTTCAACAAAGCTCTAAGAGAAAAAGGGCCCTGAAGTAGACAGGTTCTCTTTCTTTTTTTTCCTGCACGAAGGTACCATTCCACCCACCCAGTTGTTCTTACTCTACTTCGGCTTAGAAAACTACATTACTCTGAATAAAACCGCATAAAGTGGGCCAGTATCCATCCTCCTCTTCATCTCTGATTCAGTACTAATGTAACGAGGATTGACACGAAACGCTGAGCTCATTTCTTGATATACTGATTTTGTGATGGGCGACCCCTCCCCCGAATACATTTTCACCGTCGATATTGGTGACAGCGGGATTCACCCACAAAGTAGCAAAGGAAGGGAATTGATAACGCTCAAGAGACCTCAGTC